TGAAAGGGCTTAACCGGGCTAAAATTGGAGAAATCTTGTTGGAGAAATCTTGTTGCTAGTTATGATAGCCAGCATATCATAACTAGCTTTAGAGATGATCTTGCCGTGGAAACAACTTCACAAACAATATCAGGAAATTGAATTTAGGTGCTCAAATTAGTTTTTTTGGGAAGCTGATGAGCTCGACTTACTCATAATGCTGCCTAAGAATGACAAATAACAGAATTAACAGAGTTGATTGGTCAAGCGTAAGAAAACGGCTAAAAATTTTATGAATAATCTTGCGCTGAAGATCGAATTTATTCAACAAAAGCGCCATTCCAGCAAATATTTTGCAAACCAGGAGTCTCATTACCAGTTGTGTTCTGCGTAAATTTTTGTCCAGTTTCCTGGTAAAGGATCCAACGGTTTTTTAGTGTATGCGTAATGAAAACAGACATGACCGTTTCTCAACGCCGGACCAAGTAACTCGGTTAATTCTGTTAATTGTCAATTTTAGGCAGCATAATGAGTTAGTTAAGCGCATCAGTTTCCCAAAGAACTAAATTGAACCGATAAATTCAATTTATATTGTTTGTGAGGTTGTTTCCACAGCAAGAACACCTCTAAAACTTGTTATGATATGCTGGCTAATATACACCTTCACTACAAGATTTCTCATAAATTGGCCCGGTAAAATACTTTCAAATAATTTTAACGACCTTCTGTCAAAAACTATACCCTGTATCTTTAATAGATACAAAGAAAAAGAATAAAACACGAAGAAAAAAATTGTTCCTTTCTAGTTGGTTTCAAAAAAATTCATATTCTAAGTCCCGTGACTGTATGTCGAAAAATCATTTAGACACAAATATGACGGGACAAAAACGAAAGTGTAATTGATGTGGGAATGGCATATCCCGACGGCGCCGAGTGTCTGAAGCCGCTCAGAGCTTTCAGATAAGAAGAAAGCTCTTTTTTTCTTTCTCTAGCCCATGTTGGGCGAGATCTGCTCATGCGTCACCAGGCTAAGGAATTTCGCTTCTTCCACTGGCCTTGACCACAGGTCTGCGGGAGTAAAAAGGAGGGGTTTGTGTGGCATTAGAAATATAGCAACTAGTGTGGGGTGACTAGACAGTTAGAGCAAAGTGGGGAAACTTGGTTGACTAAGAGGGCGAGCTAATTGTTTAGAAGCCGACTGTAACCAAACCGAAGTAGGAAAAGTTTACCACGAGTAGTTCTGGAAGTTAGTGTTCACAAGGCCGATACGATGCTTGGAGGTGGATTATAAATGACCTTTGAAAAAGGGGTTTCTGCTAGGACCTCGTTTATGAGGCTAGTATGGTTTTGTTTTAGAAGGGACTTGTAGTGGTTTAAAAGAAAAGTGAAAAATTCTTCCGAGTCATTGAGATTTAGTGACGGATTTTGGTTGGTTCAAAATGGGTCTGAGTCGTCTTAAAAATTAATTTGTATGAATTGTCGAACTTGACGTGGGGTGGGAAGTAAGAGTGACAAAAAATTATTTGGGTGAAGCGAACGGAATGTGGTGGCGCTTTAAACTGAAAAGTTGAAAGTGAATGGTGGTTTGGGAATTTCAGGAACTCGCATTCACTGTGCAGGCGCGCAGTGGAGCTCATATGATTTGAGCTATTGTGTACTTAGAGGGCTTGATTTTTGGTGAACTGCAGGTGATTAACATAAGTCTCGCTGGCAGCGTGCGCCCAGGCCGGGGACGCATAATCAAAAATAAGGCAAATTTAGGAGATCTCTGTCATCAGATTTTTTGCAGTGAGCTGTAAAGCAAAGTGTCCAGTCATAATTAGCACCAAAAAAAACCTTGGAATTTTATAAAGAGGTGGAGATTCGTTTTTAAAAAAAAACAGTTGGAGTTTTGTTGAAATGTTTGTTGTAAGACAAAAGCAAGGTAACTGATCGCTTAGAGGACACAAATGCTAGCTTACGGAAAGTGAAAAAATCAAAAATAATGTTTTGATAACCATTAAGTTAGCGCGATGCTGCCTCAACGTCGTGGCTTTGGTCGAAGGGCTGGAAATCAATTGCGTATGAGGTGAGGCGAACATTTGCAGGGAGCGGAGGGCATCGCGGAGAAAAACAGTGAAAAAAGTCGGTGGTATAACAGAGTCCAGGGGAACTCACCAGTGAAAAATTGATTGTTAAAACAGCGGTGGCTTGCCGGCCACTTAAATAGCTGCTCAACCAGCGTACTATATCTTTTGGCAGTGGTGTGTCATAAATGAGTTCCGCTAGTATTCCTTGATATACCATACCAAAAGCCTTTGAAAGCTCAAGTGCGGCGAGAACAATACATGAGGGAGGGCGGTTTTGCTTAGACCCATCATTGATTTAAAAAAATCAGGAGTGGAGAGTGCGGTTGTGGTGAAGTGGAATGGGCGGAACCAGAGTTGGGTTGTGGCATTTGGGTGCTTTGTTAAAAAGGAGGGGAAGAGCCTCTCTAAAATTTTGACAGCATTAGTGAAATACTCCTGTACGATTTGAAATCTTTCGGGTCTTTTTCAGATTTCGGCACGGGGATTACCTTGCAGTTTTCCACATTCGGGGGATAATACAATCAGACAGCGAAATGTTTGTTTTTGGTTTTCCTGAGCATCAGATCCCTGAAGAATTTCTGCCCTGAAGAAAAGGTCACCGTCTCTCGCATTGCAGCTACTGCTGTTGGTTGAGGAAGGTTTCTTCCAATGCGTGGTTCTCTTGTTGTGATTGACGTATTAGACCTTGTTTTCTCTCGTCTCTCTTCTCTCCCAATCCGGGGGCAGGTCTTCTTCTAACACTTTGCGATCATGCGACCGCCTGCTAGATCGGAGGTGTTTTGTGGACTGCGCTTGTATAATCGGTTTGGATGTGGATGACGAGTACGATTGGTTGAAACTAAAAGTCAAAACACTCAAAAAATTAACTTCAAGAAGCGAAAACTTAAAAACAAACATATGACTAGCCTAGATGCTCTACTGATTGGGCCGACAGCCTTCAGATCAGTTGATGCCCCTGTCGAACAGGAAGAGGAAGATGGATCTGAAGTTTCTATTTCACTTGGTGTAATGGTTACGCGACCACATACACTGTTACAAGAAGTCGTGCCATCTGCCTGTCGTGTTTTGTCAGTGTCCATATCTTCCAGTTCCATTTCGTTCTTCAAGCAATCATCAACAAAGTCTTGATACTTGCAAATTAACCGACAAATCAAAAAAAAGCTTCGAATAAATAGAAAATTTGCAAAAAAAAATCCGAAACCTTAGAACTGAACAACCTTCACCTTTTTTCAGAGAGGCGAAGCGAAACATTGCACCACCGGCAAAAATACGATACTTAGCATAACAAACTAACCAACAAAAATAGAGATGGAAGCCGTAGAAAATATCGAAAAACAATCTACCAAAATTTTTACATAACTTGAATAAAAGTTCTTTGCATCAAAAAATAACAAAAAAACTTAAAAAAATGTATGTTAGACAAGCATTGAAGCAGCGGTAACAAAGCCGACAATTACTCAGCAGGCAAAATTTTCAAATTTCAAACACAATTTGAAAAAAAACTTTTTTGCTCTTGAGACGATTCGAAATTATAAAAAGCGAACGGTATGTGGCGCTTTAAAATGAAAAGTTGAAAGTGAATGGTGGTTTGGGAATTTCAGGATCTCGCCTTCACTGTGCAGGCGCGCAGTGGAGCTCATATGATTTGAGCTTTTGTTTACTTAGAGGGCTTGGTTTTTGGTGAACTGCAGGTGATTAATATAAGTCTCGCTGGCAGCGTGCGCTCGGGCCGGGACGCATAATTAAAAATAAGGCAAATTTAGGAGATCTCTGTCATCAGATTTTTTGCAGTGAGCTGTAAAGCAAAGTGTCCAGTCATAATTAACCCCAAAAAAACTTTGGAATTTTATAAAGAGGGAGAGGTTCCTTTAAAAAAAACAGTTGGAGTTTTGTTGAAATGTTTGTTGTAAGACAAAAGCAAGGTAACTGATCGGTTAGAGGACACAAACGCTAGCTTCCTGAAAGTGAAAAAAATCAAAAATGTTGTTTTGATAACCATTAACTTAGCGCGATGCTGCCTCAACGTCGTGGCTTTGGTCGAAGGGCTGGAAATCAATTGCGTATGAGGTGAGGCGAACATTTGCAGGGAGCGGAGGGCATCGCGGAGAAAAACAATGAAAAGAGTCGGTGGTATAACAGAGTCCAGGGGAACTCAGCAGTGAAGAATTGATTGTTAAAACGGCGGTGGCTTGCCGGCCACTTAAATAGCTGCTCAACCAGCGTACTATATCTTTTGGCAGTGGTGTGTCATGAATGAGTTCCGCTAGTATTCTTTGATATATCACAACCAAAAGCCTTTGAAAGCTCAAGTGCGGCGAGAACAATACATAAGGGAGGGCGGTTTTGCTTAGACCCATCAATGATTAAAAAAAATCAGGAGTGGATAGTGCGGTTGTGGTGAAGAGTATTTGACCACGTTGGTCTTTTTCAATATCAGAATTCCTAAGGGAGGAAAGGGCGCTAGCGTTCCCAGTACGCACCACCAGAAACCAGGAGATTAGCAAGGAATGCGGTATAAGTGGGAGGACAAAACTCCTAAGCAAAAAAGAGCGTACCAAAAATTTCCCAAATATATTATTAATTGATCGAACTTTGCAGCTCTTGGTTGCAACCACGAAAAAGCGCGGACCAGAGAAAATTTGCTGGTCGATTTGTTAACAGGAAAAACAATCAAACAAAAAGCGGCTTTCTGTGCAAAAACTGCAATAAGAAGCAGAGTTGGACGAAACCAAATTATTTAGAAAGCGACAACAACTCGACAAAATATTTACACGAAGTCAACAAAAACAGTACGAAATGCAGGATTACGATACGACGATTGAAGTTTCGAATTGAAAAAGAAAATACACGGACGCCAATAGAGTATAGCTTGGACACAGTGAATTGAACTGGAGACACGATATAACTATAAATTGTTTTCTAATTTCAAAGACCCAACAATTATATAAATACCTGTCATAGAGATCGTATCTCAGCTCCCATCCATCGGGCAGAGGCTCTGAGTCTGATTTGGACACCCTTTTCTGGGAATTGGATTTCGCACTTTCAACTGAAGGCTCTCGAGAGACTTTGCTGCTTTTTGATCCTGACGAGGACGCAACTGATGAGGAGACTACGGAGAGTTCGTCAATTGAAGATTGCAGCCGCTGACATGGCGTCTTTCTTCTGTTAGTTGCACCATCCGATTCGTCCGCTGCCGGTGGGGAAGCCATATAATTCGATGATACTTCTGATAGCGCACATGCGTTTATATCTGGCGGTGCTAATGTGCCGTGGTTTAAAATTGTCTTTGATGTTGCTGTGTAGGTGCTATTCTCATTTCTACTAGTAATAATGCTGCTGCGAAGTTCACCGTCTCTCGCATTGCAGCTACTGCTGTTGGTTGAGGAGGAAGGTTTCTTCCAATGCGTGGTTCTCTTGTTGTGATTGACGTAGTAGACCTTGTGTTCTCTCGTCTCTCTTCTCTCCCAACCCGGGGGCAGGTCTTCTTCTAACACATTGCGATCATGCGACCGCCTGCTAGATCGGAGGTGTTTTGTGGACTGCGCTTGTATAATCGGTTTGGATGTGGATGACGAGTACGATTGGTTGAAACTAAAAGTCACAACACTCAAAAAATTAACTTCAAGAAGCGAAAACTTAAAAAAAAACATATGACTAGCCTAGATGCTGTACTGATTGGGCCAACATTTTCGTGCGTGTAGACGTTTGTTTTATCTTCAGCTGAGCTATTATCGCATTCCCTCGCTCTCTTTGATTCTATTGTCACCTTCAGATCAGTTGATGCCCCTGTCGAACAGGAAGAGGAAGATGGATCTGAAGTTTCTATCTCACTTGGTGTAATGGTTGCGCGACCACATACACTGTTACAAGAAATCGTGCCATCTGCCTGTCGTGTTTTGTCAGTGTCCATATCTTCCAGTTCAATTTCGTTCTTCAAGCAATCATCAACAAAGTCTTGGCTTGAATGTCCTCCGTTAATAAAATAATCTGTTGCTGAAATATCAAAGATTTCTTTCTAGTGGAAACATGTCTGTACGAAGTAGAAACAACAACATCCTTCTGTTTTTATTCAAATAACATAAAAAACAGTGTTTAACGTATTCTTGAACAAAGAAGTGTACATAAAAATTTGACTACGCAGGGAGTTTAGCTGTCCGGTTTATGGTATATTCTAGAGGTTGCGCCCACAAACCAAGAGCAAGAGGGTGACCTTTTCATGAATCCTCTCTTATGTCACTGATATTAGTGTTATTCTTTTGCAATCGGTCGCAAAGATTCGCTGAAGAGCTATTCAAAACACGTCAAGCGGCAAAAAAGCCGACAATACTTAGGTAGAAATCTGTTGAACCCAAACCAAAATTGCCAAAAAATTTTCGCCCTTCAAATGAAACAAGGCCAGTGAACCGATATATTTTAAGCCGAAAATAAAAATGAAATAATAAAAAACTTAAATTAACACAGAGGCGAAGCAGTGCTTGGCGCCACTTGCAAAAAAAATGAATGATTTTCACTGCTTGCAAATTAACCGACAAATCAAAAAAAAGCTTCGAATAAATAGAAAATTTGCAAAAAAAATCCGAAACCTTAGAACTGAACAACCTTCACCTTTTTTCAGAGAGAGGCGAAGCGAAACATTGCACCACCGGCAAAAATACGATACTTAGCATAACAAACTAACCAACAAAAATAGAGATGGAAGCCGTCGAAAATATCGAAAAACAATCTACCAAGCTTTTTTTACATAACTTGAATAAAAATTCTTTGCATCAAAAAATAACAAAAAGTAAAAAAAAAATGAATGTTAGACAAGCATTGAAGCAGCGGTAACAAAGCCGACAATTACTGAGCAGGCAAAATTTTCAATTTTTAAACACAATTTAAAAAAAAAACTTTTTTGCTCTTGAGACGATTCGAAAAGATAAAAAAAATTGATATACTTAAACCGAAGTTGATAAATATACAAATAACATACAAATAAAAAAAAGAATAGATAGGTCATTTTAAATGCAGTCAGGCTCAAAAACTGTTTGTTTTCCAACTGTCTGTTCGTTGACCAAAAAAGAAATTGAGAACAACAATTTCAGTCATCTTGCCAGCAAATTTATGTATGGGAAAACTCTAGTACCCGATTGCAACACCCCTGCTTATCGCAAGGTTAATAAGATAACAAATCAAAAACTTTTATCAATTACAGTAGAACTTGCTTATATTAGACAAAACAACCCATGCTTTGAAAAACAGACAAAGAAATAGTAAAAAAAAAAAACGATTGTCTGACAATTTGATCTCCCGAATAAATTTAAGTTCAAAAACAGAATCAAATACAGAAGCGAAGCGTAGCTTCTCACTTGCCATTAACGACAGATAAAACATAAAACGACGAAAAAAATTTAAAAAAACGACCAAAAAATAGTTCTATCAAAGCCTTAATTTTCGCATGTCTCGATAGAAGTCCATTCTAGGCTAGCATGTCAGATACTTGAGTATTAAACTAGCAACAGAACAAAACTTGCGAAGAGGAAACAAAGCCGGCACTCAATCTTTGAGCAGACACCTGTTGAGCCGAAAAGTATATATATTTGGTGCTCGGAAGTTTACGCCTCACTTTCCTGAAAAAAAGAGAAGTATAGAACCAAACTAGCCACATCAGCATTAAAGTTTTGATCTCAACTGATGGTCAAAGTAAAAAAAATAGAATGAATATCAGTGGGCCCAGAAGACAAAAAAAAACAAGCTTTGGTATGCGAAAAAATATATATTCCGTTTAATATGCTTATATAATTCTATCGAACGATAGCAAAATTAGCCGAATCGTAAAGCCATTTTTCAAAAAAAACTTACTGGAAACAACAACACATAATCACAGCCAGGATAACTTTGCTTTACTCCGTAGTGCTTACTTGTACGTAGTGGGCGGCAAACCACTCAGAAACACTACAATTATCATGATACAGCAGTTTTCTGATGCATATGGAAGATAAAGCTGCATATCGTATGCACTGCAACTGAAACATTGCATTGCAAGCTAGAGGACAGAAAACGAGACAAAAACCGCCGGATCGAATAATTATGAAAAAATCTACACCCTGAAGAATTTTATTGTTTGACTCAAATAACATACAACTCGAAAAATTTTGTCAAGAAGCGCAATCAGCAAGGTCCGCCAGCATTGTCAAAAAATGAGCTCATTAGTTCAGACACTCAAAAGTTTTTGAGCAATGAAGTTTTTAACTTTCCTGAAAACAAAAGCTTACCAACCACAAGCCCATTAATTTCAAGAACCTTTCATGCATAACAGTTTTTATACAGCGAAAAGTAGATCTGCGTCAATTGCACTACATAGCAATTCAAGCTAGCTGACATAAAATGAGGCGAAAGGTTCCGAGTTAAAAACCAAAAAATGTCGAGAGGCTGCATCTGCAAAAATCCTAAAATCTACAGATTCAGAAAAATTTGTTGAAAAGCAAAAAATAATTGATTGGTTAAAAGTTTTATGTTGAGCTAACATGTCAAACAAAAATACGTTTAATTGACACTCATTAACTTTTACCGAAACATTCAGCAAGCTGCAGTAAAGCCGGCTATTCTTGAATAGATTGTACGCAGATATTGGATTATAGGTTGTGCCTGAATTCAAAATTCATACTCTAGCACACTTGTTTAAAAAACATTTCGTTTGGCATGCTTATATATTTCTTTCAGAAGATACCAAGATTAGCCGAAAAGTAGAGCTAGTTTTCAAAATCAACTTACCGAAAACAACAAATCATGCTGTAAAATGCCTTTCATGAACAACACAGAAGCCAGGATAACTATTGCTTCAATCGGTAGTGCTCACTTGTACGTAGTGAGCAGGAAACCAATAGTAAAAAAAGGATTAAAATGATACAAAGGAGTTTTTTTCATGCATATGCAAGATGAAGCTGCGCATCAAATGCATAACAACTCAAACGTAGCATTGCAAGCTAGCGGACACAAAATGAGACAAAAACCGCCGGGTCGAACAATTAAAGTAAAATATACACCCTGAAGAATTTCATTGGTTTGACTCGAATTACTTGCAATTTCAAAGCACTAGTCGAGAAGCGCAATCACCAACGTTAAATTGGCATTAAGTGTCCGTCAAAACAGTCAAAAGAAAAAAGTCAAAAAACTACATCTGCAAAAACTCATACAACGTACAGTTTCAGAAATATTTGTTGAGAAGCAACAAACTTTTATTGGTTAACTTTATTTTTTTTTTTTATTATTACGGCACAAAATATGTTAAAATGCCTTTCATAAACAATTATCGAAACATTCACCGGGCGGTAAATTTCGTTTGGTATGTTTGGATATTTCTATCATACGATACCAAAATTAGCCGAAAAGTAAAGCAAGTTTTTAAAAAATCTTGCCAAAAACAACAAAATATAATCACAGCAGGGATAATTTTTCTTTAATCGGTAGTGTTTACTTGTGCGTAGTGGGCGGCAAACCACTGAAAAAACTACAATTTTCATGATACACAGCAGTTTTTTTATGCTTATGCAAAATGTAGCTGCGCATCAATTGCAAAACAACTCAAAAATAGCATTGCAAGCTAGCGGACACCAAAAGAGAGCAAAACCAAAATCTAAATTCTGCAAAAAAAAACTCACAGGTTTCAATGTACAACTTCTGAAAAAATAGTCGAGAAGCGCAATCACCAACGTTAAATTGGCATTGCGTGTCCGCCAACATTGTCAAAAAATGAGCTCACTAGTTCAGACACTCAAAACGTTTTGAGCTATGAGGTTTTTAAACTTTCCTGAAATTAAAAGACTACCAACCACTACGCCCTTAACTTTCAAGAACCTTTCATGCATAACAGTTTTTATACAGATGCTAAAAGTAGCTCCGCGTCAGTTGCACTACAAAGTTAACATAGCAATTCAAGATAGCTGACATAAAATGAGGAAAATATCGAAAAGCTACATTTGCAAAAATTCGAAAAACCTACAGTATTATTGTTTGACGTGTTAGTTCAGCGGAAAAATTTCAACCAATCAAACACGTCAAACAATAATACGTTTAATTGGCACTCATAAACATTTATCGAAACATTCAGCGACTGGCAGTGAATCCGGCAATTGTTGAATAGATTGTACGCAGATATTGGATTATACGTTGTGCCTCAGTTCAATATTTATAGTAGAGCACTTTTTTTGAAATATTTTGTTTGGTATGCTTATGTATTTCTATCAGACGATATCTAGATTAGCCGAAAAATTAAACCGGTTTTCAAAAAAAAAATGTCACGGCCATGATAACCTTGCTTTACTCGGTAGTGCTATCTTTAAGTAGTGCGCGGCAAATCACTCAAAAACTACATTTTTCATTTTGATGCATATGCAAAACATAGCTGTGCACCACTTGAACTACAATACAAAAATAGCATTGCCAGCTAGCGCACACGAAATGAGGCGAAATGATCCTGAAAAATTTAGTAGGTTTGACTCGAATATTATACAATTTCTGAAAAACCAGTCAATCATCACACAATGAGTTTCCGTCATAATATTCAAAAAGTGAGCTTTTTAATTCAGCTAATTAAAAGTGAGGCAATACTAGCAGATTGTGCGCAGACATTGTATTGAACGTTGAGCCTGAATTCACTTAATTTCTGAATTGTTTACTTCAGCACACTTTTTTAAAAACATTTTGTTTGTTTGATACGCTTATATATTTCTATCAGACGATACCTAGATTAGCCGAGAAACAAAGCCAGTTTTCAAAAAAAAATCAATTTGGCAATTCATTCAAAAAAAACTGCATCAACCGATTAACTTAGGAGTGTCATAGCAAAAAAGTTTTTGCCTGTTTTGTTTTGATGCAGTTGGTACGGCTTGATCTAGCTTGTTTGTTCATATTCGCAAATTGTAGCTGATTGTTCTTACTAACCTTTGACATGCAAGCAGCCTTTATCAACAGGATCCTCGTTTTGAGCCAGGGAGACTGAACAATCTTGGAGATGTTTTTTATCAATTCTGAGTCCATCAAGCACGATATTAATTTCTGCCACTTCTTCTCCAATGTTCTCCTTGTCTGAGGATGCACCACTTGTTAAAAGAGAATGAAGAGTTCGACTGATAGATATTTTTGAAAGATTGCCAGAATGCTGCAGTAAAAGAGGCTTGATATTCAGTGAAGTATCGCAAAATTTAATGTCTTTTAAAGATAATAACATTGACTTTTTTCTAACAAGAGAGATTGTGACCTTGCTATTGATTCTAACAAGAACTGTGAAAGACTGCGGTTGCCATTCTCCATTTATGAGCTGCGATTGTTTACAAGGCTGACCCGTATCGGTTGAAACTTCACAGAAGTAGCTCAGCTTGAACCACGTATCCGAAAATGACGTCGAAATTATATTAATTTTTTCTATGGCAATATTTAACTGGTGGAGATCACGATGTTTGTCGTTCTGAATTCCTGCCATTAACGCACAAGTTTTAAGACTATGGTATCACTATCTACATCGGTAAATTGATATCGGTTCTAAAAAGTAGAAATAGACTCAGAGACGAATCGTAGCTTCGCACCCCTTGCGATACAACAATCATAAAAAAAGAAAAAGTTGAAACCAAATGATGAATAAATTTTTGCTAAAAAGTAAATTTCAAACGTTTTCGCAACTATGTGCATCGTCAGGATTTTTACAATAAACTACTCTAAATGACGATAAAACATCAATTTACAAATGTTATTTACAATAAATCACATACAATTTGGTTCTAAACCATCATGATAAAAAATTAGCCAATCACAGTTGACCTCTAAATTACTATTAAGATTAAAATACTTTTAACCTCTAAAATTAATTAAACATTTTAAAATTAATTTGTCTGGAAGTTTCTGAGTCATAATTTCGATTTAGACATGTACGTTTTGAATAAAAAACCAAAAATATTTTGGGACTAAATTTTCAGTGTTAACTCCCTGCTCCTAAACTCATCGCGCGTGTTCAAGCCCGGTTTCTCTTTCCTGATATGTATTGCCTCTAGTGTTAGCAATTTTGTTTGGTTGTTTGACCTATCTATAATTTCCCAACTGAGATCTGCGCTATTTCCCTCAAGTTGGCATTGCTGAAGGTGGAGGCCTACCGGTGAGTCTGCTTTCCTATGTTCCTCAATTCTAGTGGTCAAATGTCGAACAGTTTGTCCGACATAGGTGGAAGTGCATCCACTACATGACAGTTTATAAACCACTCTTGACTTGAGGTCATTAGAAAATGCTGACTTCAGTGATGGTAAACATGATTGTAGTTTTCTTGTGGTGAAAACCACTTGAACGTTCGTTAATTTTCGTAACCTGTTAGCAAAATATTGGCTCTGGTTACCTCTATATTGCATCATCAGCATTGGGGGCTTTTCATCCTTTGGTGATTGAACTGACAAACCCCTGTCACTATCCAGGGGCTTGCCTTTACCCTCGATGATCTTGCACAAGGCGTCTGAAGCCACCTTTGCGGACCAATTTTCAGGGTACTGATTTGTCAGCCATTGCGCCCTATTAGTTTCCATAGCCTTATCAAATTGCTCCCAGCTAGATGTACTCCTAAAAACCCTGTGTACAGTGCCTTGGATAACACTACGCTTATACTGAGTTGGGGCGCAGCTTCTATAGTTCAGTATAGTCCCTGTATCTGTTGGTTTTTGATACCAACTGCAAGTTACACGCCTATCCTGCGATATATTTGTTCAAATCCAGGAACGGCAAATTCCCCTCCGAATTAGTTTTCTCTAGAGTGAACTGCAAATTTGGATGAAGAGAATTGGCGGCATCGAGAAGACAACTCGGCTCCCCTCTGACTGTTCTAACAATGTCATCCACATACCTGAGGAACAATTTCACCTGGGGAGTATCCTTCTCCTTGTTCTTAGCTCGGCAGCAGCTTTCACAGTACCAGACTATCTCGGTTATTGATGCGTATACGTCATCGGATATTTTTCCGCATTTTAGATGATACCAGTTTCGGCAACTCTCGCATTCAACCCCCTTTGATCTATATGTGACTTTCCTGCTGCAACATGGGCACAAGCCGTTTTTGTCATTAATTTGCTGTACCCCCGTTCCCACCGGTATTTGTTGTCGTAGAGCAAATTCGTATTCTTTCAGCCATAAGTTTGCCAGAATTACAGCGAGGGACGCTCCCATTGCTAAACCATCAACTTGTACATACCATGAATCATTACACTTGAAATATACTTTGCTGACCGCCATATTCAAAAGCCTTTTCATGGTTGCTCTTTGAATTTCAGGAGGAGACTCCTGGCTGTACAGCTTCTGTAAAGCAATTTCAATTGCCTCCTTCAGGGGAACGTTGGTGTACAAACTTTTCACATCGAGAGATATTATGGTTTCATCCGGATCTAGAGCAATGTTTTCTATTTTTTCTCTAGCCTCTTTAGTATTGGTTTCTATATTTGCTCCATCGATGTTGTCAAAAAACTTCGCAAGCATTTTGTTAAGATTCTCATACGAGCTGCCGGGAAGTGATAGTACAGGTCGTAGGGGTGTCTCATCCTTGTGTACCTTAGCTAAACCGTACAAACGGGCGGGTTGCCCCCCTGTTGATCGTATCTTAGAATATAACTGATCACTTATCTCGTCTCTTTTGTTCATGGCTAGTAACTCTTTGTTAAGTTCTTTCTCAATTTTCAGTATCACCTCATCAGTGGTTGCATCTTTTTTCACAAACTGAGCAGATTGCAACAAGGATTCCAGCTTTGATTCATATGTTTGTTTCCTCATTATGCAAAAACCAACCCCCTTATCAAAAGGCACAGCCAGCAACCCATTATCTTTGAGATATTTCCTCGTTTTTTCAACGGCTTTGTCTCTTGGGGTTTGCCGTACGTTTTTTGCATATGCCTTTGCCGCGGCTTCTATTTCACATAACGTTTCACCAGATGTTTTTTGATTTTTCAATTGTGAGAGGAAAATGTCGATATCCGCCAAAAAATGTGTTTCGTTAAATTTGTCTCTAATTGGATGCTTGGGGCCCATTGATAGCACTTCATATACCCATTCAGGCAGTTCAATATTATCAAGTACCCTAACTGATCGCTCATTTCTCCCCCCAAGAGGTTTATCTTGTCTCTCGGACAGTTTTTCTAACTTTTTTCTATGGTTTTCTGATGTTGTCTTTAAGCTTGCCTCAACTTGCCGCCTCACGAATCGGAAAATGGATGCCCACCACTGTTTGTCAATTTCTTTTTGCACCAGTGATCTTGCTTTCCTTAGCATCTCCTCGTACCTTTTCCTATCCTCATTTGCCCTAGAAGTTTCAGTCCTTAGTAGTTTCAATTGAAAATTATGCACAGCTTGGTCCGAAAAAACCCCGTTCTCGGGGACCCTAAACTTCAAAAAGTCCGGTATTAGATCGTTTTTCACACATTTTCTCAGAAACTTCAGTCTATGTACAGATACTTGAACTTTTTTTACCAATATCTGCTGCTTCTTCGTCTTCAAATAGTTTGTCAGTTCCTCGACACCAGCTGGGCGATAGTTGTTTGTTCTGTGGCTGCTAATGGTGTTGTTCACAACGTCGTGCCACACAACCACTTTTTTCTCCTTCAGTGGACTGTCTTCGAGTAGTCGTCGGAGGTTCTTTCCTTGGTTCAGCAAGTTGTTATTAAGGGATAGGCCAGGAATTGCTGTAACAAGGCTCTCGTATTGCTTTTTTTCCCCTGTGTTAAGGGTGTTGATGCTGTGGAACAGGGAGCTAGCTGCTACAATATGAAACATTTCGGTAACTCAAATAAAAATCGGCCATTTTTTACGTATCGATAAAAAAAAAAACACTATAAAAATTCTCATTACATTGATGAAAATCATTAAAAATTTTTATACTGGCCCTTTAATGGGAAAACAGTTGGAATTTCAAGCTCTTCGCTTTTTGGTTTATCACGAATTTACAAGTAAAATTGAATAAATTTTTGCTAAAAAGTAAATTTCAAACGTTTTCGCAACTATGTGCATCGTCAGGATTTTTACAATAAACTACTCTAAATGACGATAAAACATCAATTTACAAATGTTATTTACAATAAATCACATACAATTTGGTTCTAAACCATCATGATAAAAAATTAGCCAATCACAGTTGACCTCTAAATTACTATTAAGATTAAAATACTTTTAACCTCTAAAATTAATTAAACATTTTAAAATTAATTTGTCTGGAAGTTTCTGAGTCATAATTTCGATTTAGACATGTACGTTTTGAATAAAAAACCAAAAATATTTTGGGACTAAATTTGGGACTAAATCGAAATTATGACTCAGAAACTTCCAGACAAATTAATTTTAAAATGTTTAATTAATTTTAGAGGTTAAAAGTATTTTAATCTTAATAGTAATTTAGAGGTCAACTGTGATTGGCTAATTTTTTATCATGATGGTTTAGAACCAAATTGTATGTGATTTATTGCAAATGATGAATGTTGAAAAAAAAATTAGGTCAACCAAAATTTTCCTATGTCTCAATAAAGGACAGCTAGGGCCCAGCTAAAGCTGGAGGCACGTGTGTGATATTTTTTGCCATTCTCCATTTAGATCATTTTTAGATCATTTTTATTTTTCTCAGAATAGTCTTAATTTTTATTTAGGCAGGATCCCGCTTTGGTGAGACAATACCTGGAAGTTCATCAATCGAGCGAACTTGAGTTGAAGTCATTGCGAGTTGTGCTGACACATAGAGAGAACTTGCCCGGGATATTCTCAAAGATAAGAGCGCGGACTCAGAAACCATCACAAGGACGACGCAAGGCGAAGGTACGCAGAGAGGAAACAACGACTGACGTCTCTCTACCATCGGCTGAAAGGGCGCGGATTGGGTAAGTGAATATACTGTGTGAATTATCCTGCTGAGAGCCGCATGAGTTTAAGTGCTTGTGGCCTGCAGGATAATGACCGCCGTAGTTTTGCCCCCACCGATGCTGAGATGGATACTCAGGAATAAACAAACTTGGAAATTAGTTTTGAATTACCTGAAGTATTCAAATAAATTAAACAACAATTTCCATCGCTTGAAGTTTTTACGGAAATGTCAAAGCAATGACATAATACCAGATTTTTTGAGATTTCGGGTGCCAGAAAATGGTTTTTTTTCGGACCAAGCGGTGCATAGCTTTCAATTAAAACTCCTAAGAACAGAGATAAATCAGGCAAGGTCAGAAGAGAAGAAGATAGACGATGATCTAGCTAAGGCAAGAGAGGTAGTGCGGAGAGGGATAGATGAACAATGGTGGCCCTCAATAGCATTTTATCTAAAGCTCCAGGCTAGAATTGCTATCCATGACATCAAGGATAGACATGAAAAGAAGTTAAAAAAGCTAGCAGAGCGGCAGGACAGACCGTTAATGAAAGTGAATGACAAATCGGTCAGAGCACTAGATGGCATTGAGCTACCCAAGTGGGTTCATGAAGTGTTAGGTTTTGGCCCAAAGCACCCGGTGAGGGATCGTTTCAAGGAACTTCACTTTCTTGCGGACATTGATAATTTTTTATCTGAGCTTAAATCGCAAAAGGTACCAGGTGAAAAATTATGTGAAATTGAAGCTGCTGCAAAATCATACGCTAAA